GGAAGGGATGGCAGCAGGACTTGGGATGGCAGGACATCCCAACCATCCCGCCAAGAGTCACAAAGTTGGGATGGACGTGATGGCAGGACCAGAAGGCAATGGGTATAAGAATGCGTTGGATTCCATTATTACACTCGTTGTGGTCAACTCTCATCAATAGTTCATCTCTTACATAGATCGAGACTAGTTATTCTACTCTATAGAATAGATTGTTCATTCTTTTGGTTAAATCCTATAACTCTTTTCCACATAGCACTTCGCAAACAATCTCACGGACTACCGCTTTAGTCTACTCGCCCTAACCCGGACCGAGACCAGAGAAGTATAGCCGAACCCCGTGTAACATGCCTAGGGAAAGTACTAGAAAGACTATTTGCAAGACGATTAGGAGCACTAGCAGAAACAACAGACTTACTCCACCCTACCTAGTTAGGCGGGAGATTAAAGAAATTAGCAATTATCGCCGCTCTTCTATTTTATAATAATATACAGCAGCAGAAAAAGAAGCATAGGACTACTATAACTATATTTCTAGACATAAAAGGAGCCTTTAATCACGTGGCTAAAAACAAGCTACTAGAAAATATAAAGGATCAAGGACTTCCCTGCTGCCTGCTATCCTAGACTAAATCCTTCCTAGAAAACAGACTACTAGAGCTATCCTTTGATGGCCAAGTAGAAGATCTACAGGAGGTAAACACTAGTACGCCCTAAGGCAGCCCTGCTTCTCTAATCCTATTTTTAATCTACACAAAACCACTATTTTAGTTAATTATAATAAACGGAAATATCTACTCCTCTTCTTATATAGACGACCTACAGATATTATTACTATTATTATTCCATTAGAGTCTATCTGCAGTCAGTGACTATGTAAGACTTTGGCCAGAGGCCGTTCTAGGTACAATTTGTTTAAAGTGAGAGTGTTCTCTGTATAGTACTGCTATTGTGCTGCGGTTTAGTCGCTTCTAGCTGCGCTTAAAGCGGACTCCAGTTGCTGAAGAGCAGTTTAGTAAACAGGAAGAGATGTTAGACAGCAGGGCTGTCTTCCAGCGAGCTCTTTTAGGGCTAAGGAAAGTAACTTAAGAAAGTTTGTTAGTTATTATTGGTTTTAGGTAGTGTCTCTCTGTTCTCGCTTATTTTTAGTTATCTTGTTCTTGGCCTAGATGCCAGCCTCTAGTCCCTACTCTAGTTTTAGCAATGAAAGCTAAAGTCGCCTCTCTGCCTTTGCTAGTGTGGAGGAGTAGTTGGATTGTTAGGTAGTTCTCGTCGAAGAGTTGCTTTTAGCGCTTGCCTTTCTGTGTTGTAGTG